ATATATATATATATATATATATATATATATATATATATATATATATACACACATACATACACACACACACACACACATATATATATATATAACTGTCATATATACTTTTTTTTAGTGTAGGGACATTCTTACTTTATAAGTGCTTAAGTTTCAAATATAATGTTAGTTAATTCCTAAAATGTATTTTATCCTAGCCTATACATTTATCTTCTCAAGTCTTTGTATATCTTGATATCACGGGTTTAGTTTTTTGACCTTCTGCAGTGTTAGGATAAGGCTAATCCCCTCACATTGTAACAGACTTCAGGATGAATGATGACAGCATCTAGTTAGAAAGGATGGCATTATTTGGTAGGACATAGATAATATTTCCTTTCTGAAATAGTTTTTTTTTTTTTTTTTTCCTGTGACTTTAGTTAGAGGTGTTCTAAGTTTAGACCCTCCTTGTTGAATGGTGTACTAATCTCCCTAATGATTTTTTTTAAGGGTTCAAACATTTGAAAAATGGTTCACCATTAGGAAAGTGATAAGTAAATGTACCCAGAACAGTTTTTTGGTCATATATCTGAAAGGCTTTCCTATTAACTGTTATTTTTGGGGTTTTGTAGATTGACATTATTAGGTCATTGCTTATTTCAGCAGTTTAGTGTATAACTTAATGTTGAGGTATTTTTTTTTCTTTTTTGTTTTGAGATACTTAAAACGTAGTGTTGGTTCTTGTACCATTCATTGTTGTTTGTCCTCATTAGTTGATTGTTGTGTGTTAAACAGACATCCTTGGAGCTTACTCTCCACACTCTGTGAATCCACTCATTAATCACCAGTCACCTTTGGAGATGGGAAAATTACTTACCTGTATTTCTTTTTCTCAGAAAGCGTGCTCTGGAATGGATTCACAAATGAGCTACCCTCCTTCCCTCAAAGAGTAAGGTTTCTGCTTTACAGGATTTTTTTCCTTTGGTTATTTTTCCTCTCATCTTTTGAATTTGAAAAGAACTGAGGGAAGGCACCTGAAGAAACCACTGACATACTCACTAGGGAGTTCCAGAGCTTGTCCTGCCCCTAGGGCGGTGTCCATGGCTCTTAAAGCTAGAAAGCTCATACTTGAAGTTGAAACAGGGGCTCAAAGAATCCATTTTCCCAGTGTACCTTCTGAAAGGATAAGTTTCAGGTAAGTAATTTTTTCTACTATGTGATATGCCTTATTCATACTTAGAAAAGGGTACACAATTCCTGTCTCCTAGTTGTGGAGACACTGTATTTGTTCGTGGTCAGCTTCATAACTGTCCTGAAAACCAGAAATACAAAAACTTAGAGAATAAAATATATTTTTCTCATGAGATACATGATCTATTTTAAATGAAAAATTCAAAACTAAAGGTGCTTTTTGATCAATGTATTATGCTAGTACTCTTCATTTCCTTATTAATGAATGCAATCTTGAGAAATTTACCTTTAAATAAGAAATAAGAAAGTATCTTGAGCCAGTTTCCAAGCAGCGCTTGACTTGCTTATGTGTGTTTATGCACATGGATATGTATGCTTGTGTGCATGCATTCTTCATCCATCCAGGCCAAAGTAAGACGAAGGCAACTATTTACTTCAGATTAGATGCTCTCTTTCTCTCTCTCGACTAGAATGGGTCTCAAATATTTTGAAAATACTTGTACAATTTTAAAGATTATTAAGAGAACAATATGAGCTGTTATGAATAGAATAATCAGTAGCTGCTTATAATGAAAATTTAGCTTTTTTATTGATAAGAGCTAGAGCTATTCAACCATTTATATTTAATTTTTACTAAATATGAATTGGACACAAAAAATAACAAGTAGCAAATATTAAATGTTTGCTCCAATTGATTTCCTATATATACTCTCATTTGCATTAAATTACACAATGATTTCAGTATTTAAAGTATTTCAAACATCTGTGCCTTTCTTCAGAAATGCCTTAGACGTGAAAGTTAGCTGGAAGGCCATCTGTGTGATAGGACATCGCGCAAACATTCCCTATATACCTTTCTTGCTTTCCTGGCAGGGTTGTTACTTGAAAACAGCTCTTCACTTAGAAGTGAACAGAGAGGACTTTTGAGTAGCAAATGACTGTCATAAAGTATCCAGGAATAGCAGTCTTTGTGTAAGACTGCTATAATGTTTACATATAGTAGCTAAAAGGAACAGTTGTTTCCAGAAGCAGGGAAAAGAGAATACAGTTGTATAAACTTGAAATAGTCCAGGTTCTAAGGAGTCAAGGTAGAGTGCTTTGATTTCTTCTAGCATATTATTTTTAGAGCAGTGGCAAGGAAGCAAAATTTCCTGGTCTAAGGTGTTCATAATTGTCTTACAAAAGGTAGACAGCTTTATCAGAAGAACTTTAAAATAGACAAGAATAACTGCAATGCTAATGAACTGAGTCCATAGACTAGGCCAGCAGAGTCACAGATTTGGTTTTATGCAGTCTTCTTACAACTACCCAGCAAGTGGGGAAAACGGAGTCAATTTTACAGCTCTCATGGTCAGATAGTCCTTATTTTTGCGTGTAACACACATCCTCAAGTTCAGTAGTCCTTATTGCTGTGTATAATACACATACTCTGAAGAAAGCAAAGCTATACCTACCTTTCAAAAATTTGAAAGAAAAATTTGATTTCTTTCAAATCAAGAAATTTGAAAGAAATGTTTCGTATAAAGGTGTTGAGAGATATCAAGATACCATTATGAGTGGATGTACTTATCACCAAGACTGAAAGCTGAATTTGATCCTTGGGTTCCATAAGGTAGATGGGGAGAACTGACATTTTAGGTTGTCCTCTGACCTCCTTTTACACACTGTGGAATGTGTGTGCACTTACATGTGTACATACACACACACAAAACAAAACAAAACAAAAAAAAAAACAAAATATAGAGGCATTGAGTAATAGGTGATCACTGATCTCTTCAAGAATTCTTCCAGTTCAGAAACTATTGTGTATCTCATACCATGGTAGCATGTAGTCATCTTTGTTGTTAATTTAGAGAGCGCATTCTCACAGCTTATTTAATTCTAGGATATCAATTATAAGAGAACTTTAGTAATAGCTTCATGGGAAGTTAATAGTTACTATATTGGGTGGTACAGGAGGTAATGCAAACAGTTAAAATATTAAAAATAAGTAATATGGAATATTTTAGGAAAGTAAACAAAATGATTAGCACCAACATGATGAAATATTGAGTTCTGTGTATGTTTTTTAAAAGATAACAAAGAGAGTTTTATAATTTTTGTCCTGACTGTTATATGTACAATAGTGTTTTCAGTCAGATGAACAGGAAACTTAAAAATATGATAGTAATCCAACCAAATCTGTTTTCTCAGTTGTTAGGCTAGTAGTTAGACCTACTAATAGAGCTCTAGACATGAGACTAAATAACATTAGAGATGCATTTTGGCAAAGCTTTAAAAGTTAGGAAAATAGGGGCTGGAGAAATGGCTCAGAGGTTAAGAGCACTGGCTAGTCTTCCAGAGGATCCAGCTTTGATTCCCAGCACCCAGTTGGTGGCTCACACCAACTCCAGTGCCAGGTGATCCACCACCGTATTTTGGCCTGTATAGGTACCAGGCAGGCATGTGGTAACAAACATACAGGCAGGCAAAACACCCAAAATACACAAAAATAATTAACATTAAAAAAGGAAACATAAAAGTAAAGAATAAATACATTTCTGAGAGCTGTATTAAGGGTATCCGAAATACATTATAGTTAAATAATCTGTAATTAGTTATGGATATTAACATTTGGATTTCTTCACTACATTAGGAAGCAACTTATTTTCTGAATCTTTGTTTTCTGTTTACTTTTTGAAAGTTTCTTTTTAACCTCTGCTGTGTAAAGAACAGCTGAACATTGACTATTTTGTGCTTGTACTCTCAGCTGGGGTTTCATGTCAGTGTAGGCCTGTTGATTCATTCTTTTGTAAGTTCTGTTCACATTGCATAATGCACATGTATCAATCCTTTTCCTTAAAGCAGGGATAGCCATAAAAATCACACAAGCCACAGTATCACTGACTCACACATTTACTTCTGTCAGGGAGATCAACAGTGATTAATTTCCATTGTTTTGTTTCACTGAGACAGTTTCCTTAAATCACGTTTTCTTTAGTCATATTCTTTGAGTTTACCACCAATTATAGGCTGATAGAATGTATAACAATGCTTCTTCTAACTTTAAGCTCTTTTGTTTCCTTATTCTTGTATTGCTGGTGATTTTAAAGTTTCTGCAGTATGAAATAGTTTTTTTAACATCTTAAAATTCTGGTGATGTTTCATTTCTTTATTACCTTCCCAAATACACCTCTTATCTTTATGTTGAGGACTCTTGGGAATTGATTCTTGCAGAGGCTTAAGCTGTGCTTTGCCTTTTGTGAGGACTAAAGTTAATTGGTAAGCGCTTGCTTTCTTTTTAGCTTCTAATTTTTCCCTATTTTATTTTGTACATGATATTTGTTTCAAGGTCAAAGGTTCCGTTACAGTTACTATGATGAATCCCAGGGGGAGATTTATAGATCCATTGAACATCTAGATAAAATGGTAAGTCTTTCAGGTGTGGGGTTTTAATGCTGTAAATCCTTTTCTTTAATTCCTGATTAGTGATTCTAGACTTAATATGTTAAAATATGCAATGGGCTAACAGTTCTTTTCTTATCTTGAATTTAGAGTTCAAAGTGCAGTGTGTCCACAAATGAAACAGTCCTCTAAGATGGTTAGTTAGGTACGGATTTTAAGGATATTTTTGGAGAGATATTTGGTTTAGCGGCTACAGCATATTACTGCCGTGACTCTGTTAAGCTGCAGGAGGAGGAGATGATGGGGTACACTGGTTCTATCTAATTCCTACCTAATTTAAAGTAGCTTAGTGTGAGTCTTTCTGAGCTATGTTACTGTTCTTTGACATTTATTAAGTAACTTAGTGTTTAAATTTTAGATTTGATTTCTTAATAGGGCAAAGTATTATTTTTGAGTAATGCTGACGTGATTTTATGAACTACTTAATAAAGTATATATAACCTAAAACTGAAAACATTTGATTGAATCTCCAGTTTTTAAATGATCATCTTTTTTCTTCTGGAAGTGATGACATTATAGCCCTTTAACTTTCTTTTTTTTCTTTGCTGTGTATTAAACTGAGGGTCCTGCACATTCAGGGCAATGCTCTTTCACTGAGTTTGGTGGCATAAGTTTATGACGATGGGTTTTAGTAATTTAGCAAACTTAAATTTTGTCTGCTGTACTACAAGAATTTTTACAACTACATCATTTTAATGTTTTTAAATTTTCAGAAATAGTTAGGAATTACGCTTTTTCAAAACGTCTTAAAATGAGCGTAACCTTAGGGACCGTAATAATATGAATTTTGAGTTTTGCTATATTTCTGTAAAACTCCCTGTGTTATTGTTATATTGAATTGTATTTTCATTTTTTATCATATTCACTTTGAACTTGAAATGTATTTTTAGCCTGTGTCTACTAAGGTAATTAGAGAAAGTACCTTAAGAAAACTGGATTACCTTTTATAAGTACAAGTGATTTGTCCTTTGTTCTTTTTGTCGATATTTGGATGTCTATCTATCTATCTATCTATCTATCTATCTATCTATCTATCTATCTA